CCTCTCTCTCTCTCTCTCTCTCTCTCTCTCTCTCTCTCTCGCTCTTTCTCTTTGTATCTCTCTATTTATCTGTGTGTCTCTCTCCATCTCTCTCTCCCTCCCTCCCTCCCTCCCTCCTCCCTCCCCCTCCACGTAATATTGAAAACCCATCTCCCCCATGGTGCTCATCGTTTATCTCGACCCCCGGCGCGCGGGCCCCGCAGCTGGTGGTCTAACACCAACGTCATCCTCGCCGACGAGATGGGCCTAGGTAAGACCATCCAGACCCTCGCCTTCGTCCGCAGCATCCTCCACGAGAGGCCCTCCTCCGAGCACCGTCCCGTGCTGGTGATCTGCCCCTTGTCGACCACGGACAACTGGGAGAGGGAGCTGGAGATGTGGTGCCCGGAGCTCAACTGCGTGCGTTTCGTGGGCAACATGAAGTCGCGCACGGTGGCTCTCGAGGTGCGGCGTGGCGTTGTGTCGTGTGGAGTGGAGCATGAAAGAATATGAGCGCGTATCGCGTGTATGTAGCCAGGGGTGAACGGGGCTGCTGTTGCTGGATTGAACAACGCGCTTTCGTTTTGGTGCTGTTGAGGCCCTTGGGTCGACCCCCCCCCCCGTTGATCCTGCCTTTCCTTGTCGCGATGTCAGCTCCTATGTTTGTGTGTCCAATGTGTTTTGTGCCGCTGTCTTTTCTCGTGCTCTGTTTTTGGCAGCACGAGCTGTTTCAGGATGGAGACGGAGGGGTCGGGGTTCAGTGGGAAGGTGCTGCAAGCCCCCGCGGCCGCACAAGGTTTGGAACTTCCTCTGCGCTTTCTGTGTCGCATCTGTTGGGTATTGATATACTCGCACGTGCCATTTGTTTTGTTACATGCAGCAGTACTTGTTTCTAGTACAAAGCCTTATTTCGTGTGCAAGTGTGACGTGTCAAGTGGTGTGGCGTCAGCGGTGACCACTGGCGGCTCTTCTTCTCGGGTCATAACTCTCAACGCAAGACACGAAAGAGCAAAAGTCCGCGCCGNGTGTCGTCTGTGACATGTGGTTGTGTTGATGCCGTATCCACGAAGTTCGCCCTCTGAGGTGATGTCTCGCCCTGTTTCACTCCGCGTGTACGCCCACACCGCCTTCGATGATCGATCGCAGGAAAGGGAAGAGCAAGCAGAGGGCGGGGGCAGCCGGTAAGGGTGGCGTGGTGAAGGCGGGGGTGCCCAAGTTCCACGTCATGATCACCCACTACGAGGTACCCTTTTAGCAGCTGAAGGCAATCAAACCGTTGGCATATTAAGTTCACGAGTTCCCACAACACAAACAAAACACGCCTTCGAGAGGTCCAATCCCAAAGCTAACGTGTGGAGTCCTTTCGTTAAGCACTATACGCGCGTACATCTTCGGGATGTGCAGTGAAATATGCGCCACCCGCCGGGTACGCTGTTTTGTGGGATTTGGAAAGGTTCGATTCCGGTTTCTACGAGGTCCCCGGTCGATTCGCGGTAAGTCAGCTGGCTGCATGGTTAGTCTCCCAAATAAATATATACGGTGCCACCAGCGAATAATCATGTTGCGCCATGGGGCGGGGGGGGTCTGTAGCCGTCTACGTATTTGCGTACTCGCGGTTGATTTCTACTTCGTGTTTGCTGGTTTTTTTTTTTGCAGATGCTCCTTCAGTGTTCGCACATCCTGAAGGCGATCAAGTGGGAGCTGCTGGTCGTTGACGAAGCGCACAGGTGGGATTGGAGTGACCGTCGATGGCACCACAAGCCGGCAGCGGTGGCGCCGGCGTGTTTTGCTCCTGTTGTGCAACCTTCCAATACGAACAAGCGAGAAAATCCGCGGTCGCAAGCTTGCTGAATGCCTCCGCTTACAAGCTAGTTGACGCTGTTTCTCGGAATGAACCACATTTTTTTCTTAGCTGCCAGACGAAGCATGCAATGCTGGCATACTAGGAGCATGGTGATGCTCGTGAGGGAGGGAGCAACTAGTCCTTGCCGTAGGTTTGATTGGAGTCTTGGGTGCGAAGTACTAGGCTATTAGCGCGTCTCAACCAAGTGAGGAGCATTTTAAGAAATGTCAAATGATTTTCAGTAGTCGTTTTCAAGACGTGGTCAAAAGATTTGTTGCGTTTCCCTCTCTTCCGCCAGCTGATTGATATACGAAGCGCTACATGTTTGTTTGTCATACGCGCTGCCCACAAACACCTCTCCGGACACGTGCATTACGCGAAACCTCTACAACGAAACGGCTTTGAAGGAGGCGTGGGTTCTAACGTGTCAGCCCGTCTGTCGTTTCCCCTGTTCCCCTATATCCCCTCCCGCCTCCCTGGGTTTTGTTGCAGGCTAAAGGCGGGCGCGACGTCCAAGGTGTGCCAGCTCACGGCCAGTCTGGACACGCGGCACCGCCTGCTCCTCACGGGAACTCCCCTGCAGAATACGGTGCGCGGGGGGCGCAGGGTGGAATAGATGCTCCGGCGGTGTTTTTTTTTTGCACGTAGACATACATACATTCACTGAAAGAATACGCGTGCGAGATTATGCCACAGTTTGTCATAAGAAATGTAAGACTGATGAGGTGTGTGTACATGCATGTCTTGGTTGTGTTTTTTCATCCCTACTATGTACGTGCCGTGGGCACCAACACAACCTTTCGGTGCATTGTTGGGTCCACGGTTTGAGAGACGGTTAGGGCAAGGAAAAAACTCACTCTCTCAACAATTTCGGTTTTCTCTCATGAAAACATATTTTCTTGAAACCGTCGCCTCTTTTGCATGTGTTCGACGCGCCAGCCAATCCTCATTCCATGCCTGGTCTCCTCTGGGAACAACGCGTGTCTCGTTTTATATCCCTCGATATCTTGATGTCTTGGTGTCTTGGTGCGTGTATGACTCCGCAACAGGTGGACGAGCTGTTCAACCTGCTGCAGTTTATCGAGCCGCACAAGTTCTACGACAAGCTCCTGTTCATGAGCCAGTTCACCAACCTCGAGCGAGAGGGACAGGTACGGCCATCGAGAGCTTGCATTTGGCGGAGTCCCGGTATTGGTGTATGCTTGGTTGTGGTTGGTGTCTCGTTGTCCTCCGGTACAGAAAGACGGAATCCGGACACGTCTGCTGGTGAGGAGGGTTGCGACGTTTGGTGTTATGTGTTGTTGTTGTTGTTGTTGTTGTTGGTGGTGGTGGTGTTGCCGTCACAATGGCAACCAGTACCGTTCTCTTCTCAGTTGTGCGGGCGCCTTCCGTGGTCACCGGCTAAGCTGCCCTTGGAGAAGCTACAATACACCAGGATACACACGAAGTGAAAATACGCCAAGGACCCGGGCAATGGAGGACATTTATGAAAACAAGTCCAGAAGTAAACAAATCACCAGAGGTCCTTTTTGTGCTCTCACGGTTCGCTGTGTGCTCTGGGCGCATCAGCCGCGGGTGTAGCTCAGCAGGAGGAAAGACCACGCAAAAATCATGCAGTTTATTTTGTTCATGTTGCTCTTGGTGGTGCCTACCTTTCTGCTTATCCTGAGCAAGAAACAGCCGTTTGTGTTCGTCGTCGATCGCGTAAATAGCCGAATATGTTACGTACGCACGGATCCGTTCCCCCAATCATTCTGTGGGCATACTTTGACGTTTAGCTTATTCCCGGTCCTTGTTGCTACGCTGAGACTCCAGCCCACGTCTCAATCATCAGAGGGTTTTGCGAAAGCTCCGCGCGACTACGGTGCAGTTTCAAGAACATGCCTGGCAACAAATAATCGAACCATCCAACCAATGCTGTAGAATGCGAAAAAAGGCAGCAATGGTGGCTCCGTGAATTACAAAAAAAAATGACACTCACCGACCGCAGGTGGCCCAGCTGCAGTCCCTCCTGAAACCACACATGCTTCGGCGCATGAAGAAGGACGTGCCCGGTGGCTCCGTGAACTTAGAACAAAAAATGACACGTCCCGACCGCAGGTGGTCCAGCTGCAGTCCCTCCTGAAGCCACACATGCTGCGGCGCATGAAGAAGGACGTGCCCGACCTGGACATCCCGGACAAGCGGGAGCTGGTAGTGCCCATCGAGCTCTCGCGCGAGCAGAAGGAGGTGTACCGCGCCATCCTGACCAAGAACATGGACGTGCTCAGAAAGGTGCGAACGTACGTCGAGGGATGCCTTGTGTTCGCGGACTTTGGTAGGGGCTCCGGCAGGAGGGGGGGATGTGGGCAATCAGGTGGACCGCGGCATCCTGACCAAGAACGTGGACGTGCTCAGCAAGGCACGTACGTACGTACTTCGAGGGATGTCCTGTGTTCATGGACTTTTGTCAGGGCCTCCGGCAGGATAGGTGGAGAATGACGTGTGCCGCGCGCCCTGCTGGCTGACCAAGAACATGAATGAACGTGCTCAGATAGGTGGTACCTGGGAACGCCGTCCATTATGAGACCGTACAGCAGATTTGCTTTGCCGAAACAAGACGACGTTGCTCCCATCACCAAAAAGAAAAATATTCGGTTACCAACACACGCGCAAGAAACCATCATCCACACACACGCGCGAACACAAAAACAGACACGGTTATTCTTCCCCCATGATCCCAACCACAAAAAACATGCTTCACCAACACACACGCACACGGGCGCGCCTAACGTGCTCGCGCAACAACGACCCCCAAAACCGGCACAGGGGGACCAGAAGAAGGGCACGTCGAGGGGTCTTCAGAACATCGTCATGCAGCTCAAGAAGGCGTGCAACCACCCGTACCTGTGCCGTCCGATGGACGCGGCCTCCGTCGAGGACCTCGTGAAGGCCTCCGGCAAGATGCAGCTCTTGGACAGGTGGGTTTTGTTTTTCTTTCGCTCTTTTTTGCTTTTTTTTTTTTTTACTGGAATGAGACTTGTGCATGGAGGCCCCCGGCAACATGCAGCTGTTGGGAATGTGGGTTCGTGTCCTTCGCCTTTGAAATTGTTATTGCTTGTTGTTGTCGTCGTTATCGTTTTTCATGATTCGTGTGTGCTTGGCGTTCGGTTCCACGTTTTTTTTTGTCTTTCAGAGGCAGCATACTCTAAACGTGGCGCACACCTGTTTTCGTCCCATTTGAACATTTTTTCCCCGATTCACGTGGTTGTGCTTCCTCCAATCATGTGCTTTTTGTGTTTGCCTGCGCGTTTATTGTTCCATGGCTGGATACATCGAAAACAGCATGCTGAAGAAGCTCCACAAGGCGGGGAACCGTGTGCTGGTGTTCTCCCAGATGACCGCCCTCCTCGACCTCCTCCAGGCCAGTTTTTTTTGTTTTGTGTGTTTTGTGGAAACCGAAGGGGGCTGCTCACGACCGCTCTTGGTAAACGCGTCATTTTCTGAGCCCTCGCCCGTGCAGATGTGATGTTGATCTCAATCTAGTGTATGCATATGTAGGTTTAGATGTGCGTGTAGAGTGCAGGTCTACTCCGTCCGTGCTGAAAGTCAGTTCTCACCGCTTTACCTTGTAGTTCATACACTTCCGTGTACAAGTGACCCCTCGTACGTGGGCTCGTTGCTGGAGCACAGCAGTGTCACGAAGAACTGGTGACGCAAGGTGAATATTAAATCAGGCAGTAGGACCCCCCGCAGCTGACTGCTGGTATGTTGTTTACTTTCGAATTGCTTCATTACTTTCTTCAGTTTCTAGGCCACACGCTGAGGAGAGAGACACACGGAACACATACCGTCTCTCTAGCCACGTTGACTACGAGGCGCGGCGTTGACTCTTACAAACCCCGTCTCTCTCCCCGCAAAAAATACCAGCTGGGGGACTACGACTGCAAACGTGGGAGTCCCGATACCTTCCAAGGCCCCCAATGGCACACACCATTCTACAACACCCACATCGAGGTTTTTAATCCCTACGATCCCTTTCTCCCGCTCACCCATTGCTGTTCCACGCGGGGCAGCGCTATACTTCGGTGATCTAACTGCTCTACGACCCTACGCAGCTAACGGTACGGAGTCAGGAAACGTCGCATGACACAACAACTCCACCACAAGATCAACTGCACCGCTGCTTGCTTGCTCTCACGCCTGACTGCGGTCCGGTGGCTTCGTCGCTCATCGAAAGTGGCTCGACCTTTTCGTCGAGCCCGCCCGCACCCCTATTTCCCAGTTCCGTGGCTGATACCCCCGCCTTGACCCTCGCCGGTTCCCGAACCCCTGAGTCCCCCAACCCTTCCTCGCGCCCCGATCGACGTCGACTCTTATGATCCTCCGTTGGAACGGGCTGGGTTCCTCTCGTGGACGTATGGGCAGTTCCCGTGGCATGCGGACGTCCACATGAGGAACCCAGCCCGTTCCAACGGAGGATCATAAGAGTCGACGTCGATCGGGGCGCGAGGAAGGGTTGGGGGACTCAGGGGTTCGGGAACCGGCGAGGGTCAAGGCGGGGGTATCAGCCACGGAACTGGGAAATAGGGGTGCGGGCGGGCTCGACGAAAAGGTCGAGCCACTTTCGATGAGCGACGAAGCCACCGGACCGCAGTCAGGCGTGAGAGCAAGCAAGCAGCGGTGCAGTTGATCTTGTGGTGGAGTTGTTGTGTCATGCGACGTTTCCTGACTCCGTACCGTTAGCTGCGTAGGGTCGTAGAGCAGCTAGATCACCGAAGTATAGCGCTGCCCCGCGTGGAACAGCAATGCGTGAGCGGGAGAAAGGGATCGTAGGGATTAAAAACCTCGATGTGGGTGTTGTAGAATGGTGTGTGCCATTGGGGGCCTTGGAAGGTATCGGGACTCCTACGTTTGCAGTCGTAGTCCCCCAGCTGGTACTTTTTGCGGGGAGAAAGACGGGGTTTGTAAGAGTCAACGCCGCGCCTCGAAGTCAACGTGGCTAGCGAGACGGTATGTGTTCCGTGTGTCTCTCTCCCCAGCGTGTGGCCTAGAAGCCGAAGAAAAGTAATGAAGCAATTCGAAAGAAAGCAACAAAAGGAAAGTTTGTTCGTCGAACAGACATAATAATCTGCGGTTTATGAAGGTGACAGTTGCGGATTGTATTTTCATTAATCGTTCGGAATAGTTGGGGTCTAACCAGGGGATGAAAGTAGAACCCCTACCTGCCATTCCGTTGTCAAGAAAGCACGCAGCGGTGGAGCAAGTTGAGTGACGAACGGAAGCTACTGAAGCGTGTGGAGAGAAGAAGCGACAGCAATGGCCGCCCAATGCAGACGGCGGCAGTATAATAGCGACAATAAATACGCTACAAATTAGAGTTGCTACACCGCTGCGTGCTGTCTTGTCAACGGAATGGCAGGAGGGGGTTCTACTTTCATCTCCTGGTGACCCCAAATATTCCGAACGATCCATGAAAGTACAATCCGAAACTGTCACCTGAACAAACCGCAGTTTATTCTGTCGGTTCGACGAATAATTTTTCCTTTTCTGTCAGCTGCCGGTTGTGACGCTTCTCAAGCCCAACAGCTCACACAGCTGACATGCGTCCATTCGAAGAGCTCCGCCAACCTTCCGAAAGAATGAAATACGAGTCTGTATGCAGTCTTTTCCCGGGTTTTTGGCGCACCTAGATATTGATGGGAACCAGTCGCACAGGGAGGGATCTGTCAGCTGCCGGTTGCGACGCTTCTCAAGCCCAAGAGCTCACACAGCTGACATGCATTCATTCGAAGAGCTCGGCCAACCTTCCGAAAGAATGAAACATGAGTCTGTATGCAGTCTTTTCCCGGGTTTTCGGCGCACCTAGATATTGATAGGAACCAGTCGCACAGGGAGGGATGGCAGCACAGGAGTTTTTCCCGTTTTTCCGTTTCACCCTTGTCCCATGTTTCCCGTCTCACTTTTTCACTGCTGTTTCACTCTTTTTCGTTATTTTTTTTTGTTTCACTCGCTTTGCGCGAATAGTCACTCCTTTTCACTTATTTTCACTCTGTTTAATAATTTTCTCCCGCGGTGCTCGTCGCACTTTACACCTCCCGACCAATGTTCAGCCGTCCCTCAGCCCTCGCCGATCGTGTAGTCGATCTTACCTCTATCGCACACACCTACCAATCACTCCTCCTCCACTTGTTTGGGCAATGGAGAACAAATGTCAAGTGCATTGTGAAGGAAATTTTGTCGTGTAGTGTCATTTTTTGGGTGCTATCAAAAGACGCGAACTTCTAGACCTAGACGGCAGAGGGTCGACCTGCCTTGAAAAGATGCCCTCGGCTTGTTGTGCTGGCCTTTCCCGCGCGCGCGCGTCGACATCGCTCGAAGTGCTGCCGAAAGTCCCTCGCTTTCCCACAACCGGCAAAATCTGTCGGGCAATATTGTGAGGTTCACACGCGCAGCAATCCCTGAAACCCAGATTGTGACACTTGTCGATGCTGTCTTGTTCTCTTTTTTGTCTCTCAACACATCAGCACGCTCTAAATTTCTTGCTGGTCCTCGCTTCGGATAGACTGAACGGAAGGGGGCGCGGACCGCTTCTTGCAGGGAGGGGCGGCCATGGCAATATCCCCTTTTTTACAATGATCCGAAGGAGTTGCAGTGCTCGCCAGGTCTGACGACCGTGCCTAGAACTACCGCTCACATCCTTGTACTCAAAATCCAACAACACTAGCCCACCCTGGAGGTTCGGGTGTGCCGGTGCATGGAAACCCCAGGATGTAAGACCAAGTCAAGTCGAGTATTCGAATATGAATCGAAGATGCGAAACTCCGCAAAGCAACAATTGTCACCCTTCCACACCTCTACGTTGGATGGACAACGACCATCGCGGACGGGACGCGCGCCGGCGCAGCGGTAGCGAGTTCGAAGCGTCCTGGCCACAGCACCGGGTGTTTCGCACGGGCGTGGGCCCATCGAAGGGCACCAAGGAACAGCTCTACCTAGCTGTATAGCTCTCAGTCTCTTGAGCTTTACAGCCAGGTAGAGCTGTTCGTTGGAGTCAACTCTGAGCTATGCAGGTAGCGCTGTTCCTTGGTGCTGTTCGCGCGGCCCACGATCGTGCGAAAGACTCTCACCTATACAGCCAGGTACAGCTCCTTCTATGTGCTCTTCACGCGCGAGCGAAGCACCCGGTGCTGTGTCCAGGACGCTTCGAACTCGCTGCCGCTGCGGCGGCGCCCGTCCCGTACCGCTTCCACCATCGACCTTCCGCCTCGGCCTTCAAAGCAGCGCGAAAGGCATTGACCATGAGTGGAGGGTGGACACAGAATTGAGTGCCGTTGTCAGACAAAAGACTCGAGGGGCTACCGGCCACGCACAGGGATGCACCGATTCACGAAAACATCTGCAGTGCCTTCGGCAGTACCCTCAGCGGCGGGGACGGCGTACATGTCCACGCGTCGACTGAAACGGTCGGTGAAGAGCGAAACATTTTGCCGTTACCCCGACCATCCTGTCTTCCCGCATGCTGGCGTTTTTCCTGTGGAAGGAGCGGAAGTTTGTGCGTGAGAGGGCGTTCGCAATCGTGGACAACTTCATTGTCCGTGAAAACGAGAAAGCGGTCATCGCTCAACATCAAGATGTCAGACAGCGGACCGTACCGATCTAATGAGTTGCTGGCATGCATTAGCAGGCAGCACCGATGCACGGAAAGCCAGAGTAGGAACCAGCTCAACCTTTTCAGGCCGAGTGTGATCTGTGCGCGTTGTGCACAAGCCGTATAGCGGGGCCAGTTGCAGCTTGGGCAACATCGACGGCATCTTGCCGAACATGAGCAACAGCGGAGGAAAGCAGGAGGGCGCTGTCATCGAACAGCGAGCCGGAGACATTTCGTGAAAAGAGGAAGACGGCTTCAACAGTGAATGTTGTCAGCTTTGTGCTGGCAGAGCTCCTCACTTCGTGCGGATCGATTCGCTGGATGGCCTCCGCTTCTGCCCCGGCGCCCTTCTTTGCGTATTCCAACCGGGCGACTGACCTCGTGCTCGCTCTCTCTCTCTGCGTGTTTGTGTGTGTCTCTTCTCTCTTTGTGCAGGACTACGCGGCTTTCAGGGGCTGGGGCAGTCGCCGCATCGACGGCAACACCCCGGCCGCTGAACGGCAGCGCTACATCGACGACTTCAACCAGAGCGCCGCCGCCAACAACAGGACGAAGAAGAAGCAAGAGCAGGACGATAACGACAACGACGGTGCCGCCGCCACTGATGGTGCTGACGGGGCCGGAAGCGCCGAGGCCACCGGCGATAGCGGTAAGGGTGGCGGCGACGGCGGTGGTGGTGATGGAGATACGGGGGCGGGGGAGAGGGGGGGGGAGGTGGAGGGAACCGATCAGCAGGAGAAGAGCGGGAGCACAGGAGGAGGCGACAAGGACATCTTCCTATTCTTCTTGAGCACCAAGGCTGGAGGCCAGGCGAGGAAGGGGGCCCCGCAGCTTGCGACGAGCGAACCCCACACTAGCGTTGTCATCGATGTGGTTGTCCGGGGACGTTCAGCCACCCCTCCCCTCGGGGACGTTTTCGTGTTGGCGGTGTGACGGGGCCGGTCCCGCGCCAACGCGTAAAACAGAATACGTACACCGTGGTGCACAGCAGTAGGCGTTTTTCGTTGTTCACGAATATGTGTATGAGTACACCCCGCCCCCGCCCGCCCCCCCCCCCCC